CCAGTGACTTGAGACTTGACTTGATTTGACCTTCATGACTCGGCAGGACTTGACTTTATAACAACTCTAATTATTATTATAAATCATTGCGACATAATTTGGTAAACAAAACGCAAGCCATTGAACCAGCGGCAGAAGTGATCCGAGTCTGCGCAGTTCATGACACTGCACGAGCACAGGAACTCAGTGCGCCAAAAACAGGGAGCAAGAGAATCTCCCGAGATGTTTGAATAAACACTTTGAAACTGTATGCATTTACAAAGCCAGGACGTCAGCACTTCAAAAAGGAAAGGTATGTAAGCTTGTTCGTTAGTTGAAGACAGCATTGGTCTTAAAATTCAGCTCAAGTCTGTCATTAAATTAAAGTGATTATAAATGATTAATCTTGTGTTTGTAATTAACGACGTCATACTTTAAATTCGCTGGCGTTTGCCTCTCAAAAAAGTGCTTTAGTGTCAAGCATCCCTCTTTGTAAATCAATATATTGAATTGTACCACGGAAACCACAGTTTTTTTTATCGATTAATGATGTTTTTCTTGCACTCAAAATTCAAGATATGTTGTCAAAATGGCCCTAGTATGAGTTTTTATATTTATAACATACGATATTTAGTCATATTTTAAGCGCGGCTGCCATCAGTTACGTTCAGCCCACAGCTAAAGAGTTACGCTCGTCTCTAAGCAACACACTGAATACTGAACGAATCCAGGGATTTGAACGAATGGCTTGAGTGATTCAGTGGCCCAGTCTTGCTTGTGCATGAACAAATCAACTGTTTTGAATGAATCAGTTCAATGAACGCTTCTGTGATAAAGCAGTGATTTGCCATGACTTACTGGCGGCATTAATGTCATAGAGTAGGCCTATCTTTTCATTTCATATTTCTATATTCCATTTTTTTTAAATTAATATTTTAAGTTCCAACGAAACAAACAGAAAACAGAAATGAAACAAAACAAAAAGCTTAGGCAGACCTTAAATGCACAGCTGTCAATTTAGTTCTTATTAAGATAAAATCAAAGAAATCGATAAGATACAGGGGAAGATACATAAACATTAACAGCAATAGGCTTCTTGTTTTGAGCCATGACAATAGTTTTCAAGAACAATGTAGGCAATCATGCAAAGTGAAAGGAAAGGTCCAAATAGGGTGTCTATATCCGATGAAAACTTTGGGTCCATTTTATTTCTTACCATGATATAAGGGGTGATTTGTAGTCAGCATACTATTTTAAATTGAATAGCTTGTTACACACTGAAATTCTTTAGCGTGCTCCCAGACTGAATCCTAGTCTTCGCTGGAGATATTTTGTGCAAAATCATTTTCAAACATCTGTTAAATATTATATGTGTCTCCTAGGATAGTCAAACTCAATATAACATAAATATGAGATACATATTTTTATCTTGTATTTTTATCAATATTTTCTCAATTACAGACTTATCGGTATACAAAGTAGTATTTTGCCTATATGCAAAAAGTTATATTTAAAACATTATTATTTAAAATGTATAACTAAGAAAGTTAATTTCTGAGGAGGTCATGTGGCAAAAATATATTTGTTCCTGTTTGATACTGTGACTTGACTTGATCCTTAGCAGGACTCGACATGACTTGCTTGAGGTGAGCCACTAACTTGACTTGACTTGCTTGATTTGTTTGACCTGTGACTTGAGACTTGCTTGAGACTTGAACATGTGTGACTTGCTCGAACCTCTGACATGACCCTTGATAGGTTTCACACGATTCGCCAAATATCTGCATCAACACTGTGTACATGCATGTCACAAACATGTAGTTTAAATTGATTATCTAATACCAGTTCTGCCGACACATAAAAAGCCACATTACCCACAAAACCTCACAACCTTTCATTAAAACGGTACGTGCAAATTTTCCAGCAACCACTTAAGCATTTTTGCACAAACTAGCCTCCTACAGGGAGCTCAAATCACACCCTCAACACCAGCTCACAGCATCAGTCTTCTCAACGCTAATCATCTGTCATTTTGCAGCAATATACCAGTGATTACAGGTATAAAAAAAACCCTCAAGAGATGTGAAATTGCTCCTGAAATATATTTAGCAATTTTGTTGAATATTTAAAAAAAGAAAAAATATAGTGACTTTATAGTTTATATAGTGACTTTTTTTAGTTACACCTGTATGCTTTACTCTTATGCACTGTAGGTAAAAAATATTTTTCTTATTTATTTATTATTTGTTTTGTATTTATCTATTTACTTATTTTTATACAAATTTTACAAAACATGCTATGCCCTTGTGTCTATTTAGCTTTGATTAGATTTATACTTTATTTTACTTCTTACACTAAACATTTGTAAAATGTATAAATATTTTAAAATATTTAAAAAAATATTTAAAAATATTATAAATACAATACAAATATTTACAAATATTTTAACATTTACATAACACACAATATCTTTAAATAGGCTAAAAAACATCAAGATACACAATTATTTTTCACTACAACGCCTTAGTAAAAACTAACAAAACCTGCAGGGAATAGTCCAGGGCCTGAGAGTGCAGCGAACCGCTCAGTTCAACAACTTTCTTTTCCTATTAGCTCTCGAATAGATTAGCATTTTAAATGTCTGCGACAAAGGTATGCGCTCGCTCGAAATCCTAAAGTAGGAAAATACTGGAGGAATCGGCCTTTAAATCTTAATAGTACTTTCTAAGGTGGGGAGCTCATGCATGTATAATGCGTTAAAAGGTTTCTGACCTACGGTAACCGTGTTGCATGTTTACCGGCTCTAGAAATGGACGTCCGATCAGCAGCGCTGCAGAAATGTAACACCTTAGGAAAAGTGTTTTTCTTTGCCGAGTTAAAATATACAGGAAAAGTGATTTGGGATTTATGTGAAAAAGCCCCGTTTCCTGCACCGCTGCCAAACTGGACACCCAGACAGGCCACGACTATTTGACCTTCTACGCAAATCATGTCACCATCAGTTGCGTTTCGTGCCGTTTTTATTCTGATATTGACACAGCTGTAGCTCTGACAGATAAAATGCTGCTTAAAGAACCAGACTCGCTCGTGTTTTTCTTCACACTGCCAAAATATCACATTATATACGCTGTGGAAAAATAATAAGGCCGGTGCTCTGAATTCTGTTCAATATCAGAGTGTAGTGCGGTGTGACCTACATTTGGACCAGGTGTAATGAATGGGCTTTAATAAACATCTCTTAACGGTGTTTGCTGAGCACTGCAGCATGGGAAAAGCGCTGGAGAGACGGATAGTGACTTTTGCCTCACCTACTCTTTAAGTGCCGGCATGCATTTTTAACTGCAGTGCTGGTGAAACATTAAAAGGCTTCTGTGAGAATGTGCGTCATTGTCCGCTACATTAGAGACCTGCCATGCTGGCGTGAATGAGGAAGGAACGTGTGTGTGTGTGTGTGTGATGAAAAATACAGAGCACTGGCCGTGGCAGTAAACCATTAAACACAATGGAGTCTTTTTCTTTTGTCTCAAAGTCTTAGCCGGTTCCACCAAGATAACGCAAGCCATTCATGAATCGCTACAGCAATGCTAAGAAATAATGTAAAAACACCCTAACCGGAGAAAAAACATTCATTTTCACAAACGAAAGCCTAATTGACCCGTCGCTAAGTTCCGCTCCCTGCAGGACAAGCTTTACAGAACGTCCCATAGGTATGAACGGCATGACTTTCAGTGAAATGGACTCATAAATAGACTGGATATTATTCATACATGGGCTGGAGTTAGTACATGGTGGCATGTTATATGTGATTTATCTTTAAAGAAATGTATAGATTACTGTTCTACTGTACTAAATGTTTTAATGTACTTTTGGATCATTTCTCAATGGAATTCTATATAAAACTATCCAAACACAGACTTCCATGCAACTCCATTATAAAAGTGTGAAAGCCCGTCTGATAATATACTGCAAAAATTAATTATCAAAGTTGTAAATAAAGATTATTGGAGTATGTTTTGCAAGAAAACACTATTTCAGTCTTTCTACTTCAGAATTTCATGATTTATTCAATGTGTTACTTGCTACTTACCTGTAATTAGTATTTGTAATATGATATTTCCTAGTTATTTTAAAATATTATTTAAAAATGCATGCTATAGATCTTATTGTGAACACTTCATCTGTGTAAATGTTTAATTAAAAAAAATAGTTTTTAATCTTTTAATCTTAATCTAAATGTCATAACCAGATCTTCTGGTGAAAACGACACACTTCTCTCGACACACATATGCAGGGTTCTCCAATAGTTAAAGGGTTAGTTCATCCAAAAATGAAAATTAGCTTGTGTTTTACTTACCCTCGAAGCATCCTAGGTGTATATGACTTTCTTCTTTCAGACGAATCCAGTCGGAGTTATATTAAAAATTGTCCTGGCTATTCCAAGCTCTATCATTGCAGTTTGCGGGTGTTGCAGTTAAACAGTCCACAAGTCATCAAATAAAGCTTGCGCATTCATAATAAACGTCTGTGGCACGTTTTATTATGAATGCGCAAGCTTTATTTGACGACTTGTGGACTGTTTAACTGCAACACCCGCTGACTGCAATGACAGAGCTTGGAATAGCCAGGACAATTTTAATATAACTCCGACTGGATTCGTCTGAAAGAAGAAAGTCATATACACCTAGGATGCTACGAGGGTAAGTAAAACACAGTCTAATTTTCATTTTTGGGTGAACTAACCCTTTAAGTCCACTTAAACTCCACCCACGCAAGCTCAAGTGAGTGTCACGCCCACATCTCAACATCCAATCAACAACAGATGCATAGAATCAATTCCCGCCCACATTTGCTGCTTTAAAAAAATCTGTAAATGGAAAAAGTGGGCAAGGCCACAACTGCTGCAAAGGTTAGTTGTAATTTGAAGGCGGAGCTTGGAAAAGGGCCAACTATCAATCAAACCAAAAACCAAGTCTCGCCTACATTTTTCTTTGTTAATCAAGACTGGTAAATCATATTTTTAAGGTGGAGCTTAGCAAAGGGCCAATTACCAATCAAATCCCGGTACCTGAGAGGCTGTGGCCTTACCTATGGGATGTCCAGCCTCTCTCCTTTCTCTGGCACTTCCTCTCACACCTCAACATCCAATCAACAACTAACCAGGGCTGCGTTTCCCAAAAGCATCGTAAGCCTAAGTTGATTGTAGCTCCATTGGTTTCAATGGGTCTACGATGTACTTAAGCTTACGATGCTTTTGGATATCACAGCCCAGAACCAAGTCATGCCCACATTCTTCCATGTCGTTAATTCATTAAACTCATATGTATATCACAATATGGGAGACAGAATCTGTCACTTTTTTCAAAAAAAAAAAAGACTGGAAATGGGGAAAAAAGTGGGTGAGCCCACAACAGCTGCAAAGATCAGATTAGTCTTAGCAACATCCAATTAAAAACTGATGCATAGAACTAAGTCCTGTCTTTATATTTTTTCTTTTACTTTAAACTCGGATGTACGTCACAATATGGATCTGTGTCGCTACTTAAAAAAAATCTCTATGAACGAAATGAATGGAAATGGAAAAAGTGGGCGGGGCTGCAACAGCTGCAAAGCTCAGTCATATTTTTAAGGCGGGGCCAATTACCAATCAAATCCTGCTACCTGAGAGGGTGTGGCCTTACCTTCGGGATGACCAGCCTCTCTCCTTTCTCCGGCGCCTCCTCTGAGTCGGAGCAGGCGTGTCCGTCGCTGAAGGCCTGCAGGGGGCTCAGGCGCGGTCGGTGGTGCAGCGGCTGGAAGGTGAACTGGGTGCTGAGCAGGTTACTGACGGCCCGCAGGGTGCTGCAGGTGTTGGGCGGGAGGGAGGGGTCAGCCAGCAGATCTGAGATCAGTCCATGGGCCTCGCCCATCACCGCGATGTCCACCGTCACGCTGGTGCCCGAAGACTGGACGAGAGAGACAGGAAGTGGGCGTAAGGCAGAGGTAAACGCACAGGTAGCGGTAGAGGAAGAGACAAAGGGGGGAGAGAGAAAAAGCAACGTTAGCTCATCTGCACCTCAGCGGTGACGCGATGCAGGGCTGACGTAATGGCACACTGACGCAGAGAGTGACGCCGCACTGCTACACACGGGGGAACGAGAGACACAGAGAACGAGAGAGAGATTTCGAGGGCAAGAGAGAAGGAGGTCATGAGAAGTACAGAAAGAGGATACATTTATAACACGTCTCACACTCGGTCTTTCCTCGCTAGCCCTCAAAAACGGCCACGGGATACAGTATTCACACACACGCACGATGGAGAGAGAGAGAGAGAGAGAGAGACATCAAAAGCAGATGAAGGACTGACACATACAGAGAATAACTAATGGAGGAAGGAGAAACTGACTTGCATTAGGCCGGGTGGCTGCTCGTATTGGGCCGTGCAGATGTTCATTGTTCGAGAAAGAGAGAAAAAGAGAGAGAGATCTTCAAAACTCAGAGAGATCTTCACGACAGGCAGCATCTGCTGGGGCGTATGTTCAGATGCCAACAGAATGTGCTTCATTTTCAAAGATCCCAAAAATCCCTCAACTGCAAAGTGTGTCATTTCTGCACTCCTAAAGTCATCAAATGGAACTGCAAAAATTATTTATTTTTAAGAGTTTGGGGTTCATTTCTCTTGGCCAAAGTAGCAAGACACAAAAGACAAAGCTTCTGCATTTAAGCCAATCAGTCAGGACTACCGAGCCGAATGTCGCGCAATTAATATTCATGAGCAAAATCGTTACGGTTTGTTCCTATGCCTCTTGTTTGATATGCTATGTACATATACACAAACAATTGCTGGAAAATAAGCTGCAAAAATGGCTCATTCAGAAATAATCATGGCACAAATAAATTAACATATGACCACCCACATTTACATATTAATGCCTATAAAAAATAAATAAATAACATTATGTAAATTAATAAATCATTAAATAAGTAAAATAAATAATAATAATAATATACAAATAAAAATATATAAAAATATTTTATGTATTATATATATATATATAATATGATTTGTTCATATAAATTTAAAAATAACACACACACATAATACAAAATACTATAGTATAATAAGTACAAAGTATAATAGTAAAACTAGTAATAAAAATAAAAAATAATAATTTAAAAAAATTCAGTGCATTGCAAGCAAACACTACAAGATACACACCAGTATTGGTTTTTCATTTTTGTTCATAGTTTTTTTTCTTCATATTTTTCACAATAAATTTGTAACATTGTTTTTATAATAAGTTAAAATTGTTTTAAAAAACAGCCTGAATCGAGATAATCTGCTCTTTCCTCATCAGCATCTTCTGTGAAATCTCATAAGCCTTGTACAAGATGTGCATGACCCAAACAGGAAACAGAGATGCAAGATACTGACCGTAGACACGTGTTTGTTTACATTTTTTCCCTCCATCAGAAACTCCTTGATTCATTCTGTCAGCTCATGTGCCGTTGACAGCGTGGCGCATGTGAGGCTGACAGATGAGTGGTTGCTATGACAACGAGGTTGCGTCAGTGGGTCGGGTTTCTACTCGCTCTCTGTTTGTGTATTAAACACAAACACATGTATTAATTGCTCGGTCTGATATTACTGTATTGGATTTTCTCTGTCACAGACCCTTGCAAAGGAAATACCTTTGCTGAATAATGCAAAATCCCTCGCTTGGATTACATAAAATAAATCTTAGATTGAGCTGCATTAAAACAGATCATGGAGGCTAGATGAGACTAATAATTCAAACCTTGGCGCACGCTAAAAAAAGGAAAATTACTGGTGTCACATCAAAGAAAATGAATACAAATAAGTACTTTTGCATTTCCAATCTGAATGATTTGAATGATTAAACTTATGTGATCATTTTGGGCTTGTAGCTACAGCAAAATTACACTGATTGCGGTCTATCAAGACCACACTGGTGTGTTTGGCATACAGTATTCATATCTAAAGTCCTGAAACATCTAGTTACGTTTATCATTCTATGAAAGCCATAACAGCATCGGAAAAATATTGCAGTTGCAGACAAATATGCTTAAACACATAATGACTACATTCATAATGCGATTTAAGCAGTACTGAGATTAATTTGAAGCTCATGTAAACAGAATTTTGTGATTATGTTATTATGATTACGCAGCAATCATAATCACGGTCAAATATGTTGCGTATTGCAGTTTTCTGTATACATTTTTAATGTCCACTCTGATGAAAACGCACATGTCTGTGCTATAGACAGATGATGCATTATGCAAATGCATGGGTTTGAAAACACTGAATGAACAGAAAATGATTTTTCTAGTGAGCTCAGGGATTATTTTGCTTTTTTTTTTGCACTTGAAGCAGGTTCTGAATTTGAGGCAGGACAATGATAACAGCAGTAGAAAACATTGCATTTGAATTTATATTTTATAATATGTTATAAATAACCATGATAAATTATTGGTAATAATCAGACTATTAGTGTGCAATTCATTTGCATTTAAAGGAATAGTTCATCCAAAAATGAAAATTTGCTGATAATGTCCTCACCCCTCAGGCCATCCAAGATGTAGATGAGTTTGTTTCTTCATCAGATTTGGAGAAATGTAGCATTACATCTCTTGCTCACCAATGGATCCTCTGCAGTGAATGGGTGCCGTCAGAATGAGAGTCCAAACAGCTGATAAAAACATCACAGTAATCCATAATCCATAATAACGTTCCTCCAGTGAAAAAGTCTCCTGTTGTCTCTCACATCAAAATCCAGCCACATATTTGTTTATAACTATTTTGGACTGTTTTGACTTGGAAACAGTGCTGGATCCGTGCAGGTTTCTCTCCTGATTCAGATGAGATGACTTTTTCACTGGAGAAAGCGAGATTATGGATTATGGACTTATTTTTAGTTAAAAAATGTCTTTATGCATTTGTTTCTAACAAACACACAGCTTTTGTCTTCTCAAGATATTAATTGCTGGACTGGAGTGGTGTGGATTATTGTGATGTTTTTATCAGCTGTTTGGACTCTCATTCTGACAGCACCCATTCACTGCAGAGGAGCCATTGCTGAGCAAGTGATGGAATGCTACATTTCTCCAAATCTGATGAAGAAACAAACTCATCGTCATCTTGCATGACCTGCGGGCGAGTACATTTTCAGCAGATTTTCAGTTTTGGGCGAACTGTTTCTTTAGAATGAAAGAAAGCATCACAGAGATTGGCGTATGGCATTCAGGTGAGTTCATATCCCAGCAGTGTTGCTAAAGCTCCCTCTGACTAAATAAGCCTTCAGTGAGGTGCGGTAATTAGCCGCTGCGCTCAGGGCAAAGTAAGAGCACGGCTGGAATGACAAACTCAAACACACAGGGAGTCAGAGTGTGACAAAAAAAAAAAAAAAGCTTTGCAGGACTCCTCTGACATCCTTCATCTGCCGTGAGTCACTAAAGCGAGAACATGTGGAGGATGTATGCGCAGCGTCACGCTACATATCTCAGAGCTAGCCGCTGTCAGACGCCAAAAAACTGCGTAAGAGTGGCTCGGATCGAGAGCTTCCACGAAACGTTCGAGTTGTAAAACTATGTAAACACAGAAACTGTCCGCCGATGTGCATATTTGGAAAAAGAATGGCTGCTGGGTTTAGCTTTAACTGTCGGAAACGGGCTGGCTCATCGCTTCATCAGCGTGAACAGCGGCACAGGTCAGGAGTTATGAGCGTGGTGAAGTATTAATGAGAGCTGCATGTGGATGAGGAGGAGAGCGCCTCCCGCAGCGGCAGGTCACGACCTCACGACCCACGGCAGGGGGCCTGCTAGTGACCCTTGTGGGAAAATAGCAGTGCTTTCTAAGATTCACCTGCTGTTTGTGTAGGTGAGTCTCGCAAAAGCATGTTGAGGTCACATTTTACCCCAAAATCAAAAGATTTTCGTTGTCATGACAGTGTGACTAAAAAATGTTATGTATATTTTACAAGTCGGGTGAAATGTGACCTGTGCATATTCCTGACAGATTTTGAGAAATGTCTGGAGACAGAAATGTGTCCTTCCAGCTGTGGAGAGATTGAGAAACACTTCCTCTGCTCTCTGTGTTATTCAGGTCTTCCAGTAGGGTCACACACGGACTGCCGGGAAGCCAAAAAGGGCGATTAAATATAGAAGGCACGGAGAGCGAGGTTAAGTGGACTGAGACAACATCGCTCCTTGCGTGGGAGTCTTTCAGCTCCCTCCTTTCATTACATTTTTCCCTTTCTCTCTCTCTCCTCCCGTCTCAATCCGTTATCAAAACAGCGTCCGCCGCAACCAACATCAACAGACGTGAGTCACCGGCGAGCTTGTCAAACAAGAGGATTTTCTGTGCAAACAATGGGCCGTAAAATCAAACTTGGGCTCTCTTAAACTTTAGCACATGTGTGTTTGTGTGTTTTACCGCCGACTAAAACAAGAGAGGTGTTTATGGGAAAGTTGCTCAAGCAGTTTTGGCTTGGAGAGCGGCTGACAGATCCCAGAGAGCCCAGCCTTAAAAAAAAACACATTATCTCGCTCTTCAGCGCAACCTTTATGACATCCTGTGATAGCCAAATCTGCCCATTACCTGCCTGAAATGGACTCTCTTCACGGCTAATGTCCTCGGATTAGTGTGATTGTGTCTGTGTGCGCACGAGAGTGTGAGTGTGAGTGTGTGTGTGTATAGGTGATATCAACAACACATCCAGGGAACAAAACGGGGGTTGCTGCTGGAAACCGTATCGATCCGAGCAGGTTGATCGGGGCTTTTGTGAACAGCGGTACAGGACAGACGGGAGGGAAAAGTCCTCTAATAGCATCTCGTTGATTGCAGGGCTTACACTAGACACAGAGAGATGCTGAGTCATGTTATTCTCTGTGCATATGCATTCAAAACACGCCGGCCGATGGGATGCAAATGTGCATGAAAGCAAAAGCGAGGGCTTTGATGCACTGCGTTGGCAGGCACGTGTTTCTACACTCGGCTCTTCAGAGGAACACGCACATGCGCCGGCGTCACGCGGAGCCGCCACGCAGATGCCGAGGTGCAGTGAGGCGTGAAAGAGGAAGAACCCTTTACGAGATGTTTCCCTTACTCTACCGTCCCGTCTGAATACTGCATGAATGAGTGCCTTCTGTAATTCGCTCAAAAAAGACAATCTGACACTGATGCTGCTTGTATCCAAAGCGATTTATATCAAGAACATGTAAGAGTCATATTTCATTCCAAACTCAAAAGTAAATCAAATATTTAGCATAAAAAGCCTGTTTTTAGGACAATTGAGCATTTTTGTATTGTGACATTAATTTAATGAATATTAAGCGTATTTTCCCCTAAAAAAAAATGAACAAAAATAAAATAACTTCATTACTGCAATGCAAAATTACATACTTTTATATATATATTATCAATTAATTAATTATAATTAATTATATATATATTATCAATTAATTAATTTAATAATATTACAAATATTTATTAGTGCAGTAAAAAATATTACAGTAATGAGAATTTTT